CGAGCACTGTCGAAACATCCAATTTTAGCCGAGAAAGTCGAAACATAGGTCGAGCACGTTCGAATTATAGTTCGAGCACAGTCAAAACATAAGTCGAGCAAGCCGAAACATAGGTCGAGCACAGTCGAAACATTGGTCGAGCACAGACGAAACATTGGAAACGGTCAAAATATAAATTACTTTATAAAGACGCAATATAATTTATCTCCCTATCTGAGCTATTTGTTTGCTATTGAAATTTATAAAAGTGCTGTCAAAAATAATAAAATTTCAACTCTGAAACTCAAAATAAACATAAAAACCAGATGAGTTTTCCCTGTGTGACCAAAAAAGCATTTTGAACAGTTTGAAGTCAACCACAGCCGCGATAGTAAAGCGAGAAAATTTTTTCTTTGTCGAGACAGTCGAAACATACCCACTGTTGATCGAGAATTTCAAAATATATCTATGCGGGGTGGAGCAAATAGATTTTTTTTAAAAATATTGGTCGCGAAAGTCGAAACATATCAATTTTTGGTCCAAAAAAGTTGAAGCATTTCTGAACTGGTTCGAACAAAGTCGAACGCTTTTTTGTTGGGTCGAGAAGTTTGAAATGTACCAAAATTTGGTCGAGACAGTCGAAGCATATCGAAATTTGTTTGAGAAAGTCAAAAGATACCAAAATTTTGTCAAGACGGTCGAAACATAGCGATTTTTATGTCGAGAAAGTCGAAGCATGAATTGAGCACGTCGACCCGGGTTGTGAAGATTCGTATCTAACATTATGTAAAATTTTATAATTAAAAATTGATTATATGTTTTATCTCAGTTTTGAGAAGTTTGAAGTTTACTAAGTTTTTTAATGGCGAAGGTTTGCGCAGATGACCATAAAAATGTTATAACAAACTCAGTAACGATTTTTTCTTGTTTATTCTAAGGCTATTCATCAAATTAGCTGTATGAAAATTCAATGAATGTATATGAGTTAGTTTTACTAGATAAATGAGTTTGCATAAATGAGTTTCAGAACCTCGTTGAGTGTTGTTGAACATCGTTACGAACGTCAACGTATCTTGAACGTTTCTCATACGTGTAACTCAAATAAGTCCCGTCCCGTAAAGGGGCATCTCAGAAATATGCGCTTAATGGCCGCTCGCAATATAATACTCAAATTAGAAGCCAATGAATACTGGACGTTACTTTTTGATGTCAATATAATACTCAATATAAATACTCATATATAATACCAATATAATACTCAAATTAGAAGCCAATGAATACTGGGCGTTACTTTTTGTTGTAATATAATAATATGAAAATTAGTTTCTTAGCATATGTTAACAAAAACACTTGAGAGAAGGTCTAACTTGTTTAACCTTGACGTCTCAAGATCAAAGATAAAAGGATAATGCAATTTCGCACGCTTCACCCACCTAATAAAAAAAAAGATTTTTTTTATTTTTTCACAAAAAATTGCCTTTCTACATCCTAATGAAACTAATAAGAAAAACACGCAAATTTGTTTTTACTGTTTTTGCTCTTGAGGCGAAAAATGCAGCTCGATTGATAATTAATGATTTATGAAGTTTAATATGATACCTCTGCTGCTTATTTGCAATTCATTTTGCGAGGCGAAAAAGACAAGTCAGCCTCATGAAAATGATGCTCAGTCAATAATAATTCATACCTTCCGGAGCAACCTACAACACATTTGCTGAATCTAACTGGCAGACTAAACTAGCCTTCAATCTTAAATAGATAAAAGAAAAATCTATCAATGAAGTAAAAAATTATCCTTGAAATTTTTATGAATCCTAGTGATAGAATTTGTGCCCATTACCATGGGATAAATGCCTTTAATATCTGACCAATTAGACGAGAAAAAATTACGGAAGATTTTTCAATTATGTTCAAACTGCCGTAGTAAAGAATTGTTTTTTAAAAACACCATGTTTTCGTCAATTAAAAAAGAACTTATTAAATAAAAACCAAAAAGTAATTGAAACACAATTTGAGTATGTGACAGAGAGAAATTAATAGGAAAATTTGACGACCAATTTTGATGTGATTGAATTTTTCCATAAAACAAAAGAAGATCAATGAGCCAAAGATTTAATTTTTTACCCCGTTAGATTTTTGGGAAAAAGTTTGACGACCATTTTGAAGCTTAATGCCCTTTGTTTTTTTGAAGATAACGAAGAAGATACTTGGATGTGAAAGGTCACAAAGGAAGCAAAGCAAATTAATTTAATTAAGTCAGGAGCTAATTGCATAGCAGCTAAATGGCGTTGTTCCAAAGTGGACATCCTTTTTTGAATCAAAGCAGTGATTGCGTGAAAAATTATTTCAAATTAATATTCTTTGTTTTTGTCGCAAATCAACGCAAAGAGTTTGTTTGATACTATTTTTTTAATTAAGTCATGGGATAGTACAGTTAATTGTTTTAGGCAAGTTAATTACACTTGCGAAAGCGAGTATCTCGTAATCAGGAACTAGACTTTTTTCCCCGTAAACAACATTTCTTGCATCTAAAGTTGAAACTGAAGTTACTTTAATAGTGAACCTTCGCAACTTCGAGGCAGCTTCCTATTTGGCCTGGAGGTATCGAGTTGTCTCTGTGTCCTTATGTCTGGAGTTCGAGTCTTTGTTGGACCTTATTTTTTTCAGTTTGTATGAAATTATAAAATTTCCGGGAAAAATTGAAGTGTCGGACTTTTGTTTGTCTGCGGATGTTTTGTCGGCTTAGTTGCCACATTGTCGAATTTATTTGTGCAGCAACTTTGTCGTAATTGCAACTGTTTTTGATGTACTTATGTAATTTATAAAATTATTATCCTGACTATTTCTCTTTTGTTTGATTTTCTTTCGCTTAAAAGCTTAATTTGGCCTCCTAAATTATTTCGTTTTATGCTTTATTGGCTTAACTACCTTGATTTTTGTAAACTCCTAGTGGTGTCAATTACTAGGACTTTTTTGTAGTTCATTGACTTTTGTTCCGATTTTCGATACGAAAGTAACGGAATATTTGTGCTCGGGGTGGATTTTTTTTTCTTCAGACAAAATTCGACTTTTTAACTAGCCATTTTTGACGGAACTTTTTTATATCATTCAAAAAGTAGTGTTGTCTTGAGCTTAAATTTGAAAAGATATTTCACGTGTGATCATTTTTCGTAAAGTTATGGGGGTTTAAAGATTGCCATTTTGGCCAATTTGGGACAATTAACGCGCGATATATTTCGTGCTATTAACGCGTAAGCGGATATTTAATCCGTCTTAGAAATCGTTCCAAATTGGCTGAAAGAAGCTTATTTGCCTTAATTGATTTGTTACTAGAAGCGAAATTTTTTTGTTTTGAACTTTATATTGCGTGTGGGGGATGATTTTCATAGAAAAAAAAATCAAATTTTAGAAAATAAAAATGTTCGTTTTATTTTATTTCATTTAAAGTTTTATGTTGTTTATGTTATTACTGCTCCATAAACCTTAAAGGCAGTCGAAACATTCAGGGCTTCGCCCTGATACGAGCAGTCTTGTTGTTCCGACTTTCGATACGAAAGTAACGGAATATTTGTGCTCGGGGTGGGTTTTTTTTTTCTTCAAACAAATTTCGACTTTACAACTAGCCATTTTTGACGGAATTTTTTTTTATCATTCGAAAGGTATTGTTGTCTTGAGCTCAAATGCGAAAAGATATTTCACTTGTGATCATTTTTTGTAAACTTTCGGGGCTTTAAAGATTGCCATTTTTGGCCAATTTGATACAATTAACGCGCGATATATTTCGCGCTATTAACGCGTAAGCGGAGAGTTAATCCGTCTTAGAAATTGTTCCAAATTGGTTGAAAGAAGCCTATTCGGCATAATTGGTTTGTTACAAGGAGCGAAATTTATCCTTTTGTACTTTATATGGCGTGTGGGGGGATGATTTTCATAAAAAATTTCAAATTTTAGAAAAAAAATTTTTTCATTTTGTTTTATTTCAGTGAATTTTTTTATGTTATTACTGCTCCAAAAACCTTAAAAGGCAGTCGGAACATTCAGGGCTTCGCCCTGATACGAGCAGTCTTGTTGTTCCGACTTTCGATACGAAAGTGACGGAATATTTGTGCTCGGGGTGGGTTTTTTTTTCTTCAGACAAATCTCGACTTTTTAACTAGCCATTTTTGACGGAATTTTTAAATATCATTCGAAAGTTTTTTGTTTCCTGAGCTTGAATTTGAAAAGATATTTCACCTGTGATCATTTTGCGTAAAGTTATGAGGGTTTAAAGATTACCACTTTGGCCATTTTGACCAATTTGGGACAATTAACGCGGGATATAATTCGCGCTATTAACGAAGCTTATTTGCCCTAATTGATTTGTTGCAAGGAACGAAATCTATCTTTTTGTACTTTATATGGCGTGTGGGGGGATGATTTTCATAAAAAATTTCAAATTCAAAAAAAAAATTTCATTTTATTTTATTTCATTTAATTTTTTATGTTTTTACTGCTGCTCCATAAACCTTAAAAGGCAGTCGGAACATTCAGGGCTTCGCCCTGATACGAGCAGTCTTGTTTTATTTCTTGTTAAATTTTAAACATTGCAACTGCATTCCACATTTTGCAATACAAGTCGCAATCACTGTCTGACAGCGCAATGCAATATAGTCGCAATAGAGTGTTTTTCTTTCTCTGTCACATTTATTTGCCCAAGTGCCTGATTGTCTAAACTTCAACTATTTATAGATATTTACTTAGACTTTAATCATACAAAGAGACCTAAGATAGAGATAGCCAAGTCATAGAAGTAGTGTATGTCTAAGTATGGCCCTGAAAGTCAAAGTGAACCCGTTTCTAGTTGTAACTTGAAATCATATAAAAGTTTATACACTTTAACATTCCTGATTCTAACTTAATCGTATATTGTGATATCCTTTCTGCCTTCAATGGTCCTTCGAATTAGAACTGCAAGCAGAGCTAGTTAAGTAAAGGTTAGTAGTACAATCAATCACTTGTATTTGTGATTCCAACAAGCAATGTTCAGTCTGAGAAAAACAGATTCAGTTCTGAAATTGGATATTTAACGCTTGGATAGCAGAGTTTATGGTAGGTAAAGGCATGGTATATATCTATACATGTATATACAACAAAGCAATTTAAGCCCAATGCGCCAGCGAAGTGAGTCTGCGATCAACCCGCGGGCATCTTTTAGACCATTGCGCTTGCTAAACGTTACCCCAACACAACACAAAATACATACCACCGCAACACACTAGAGTTGACAACCCATAGCACAGGTTAAATTGCACTACTTTAAAGCAGCCGATCGCTATTTGCACCAGAGTCTAGAAATTCACCTGGTCAAAAAGCCGAATCATTGATATATATTAGCTCGGGTTCTTGTTGCACATAACAATCATGGTCGGCCGGCCTTTAAATTGAATCACTGACAAAAGCTCTACAGTATTTCATAATTTCTACTAAACTCTTCTTCAAAACTACTAATTTTATCAATGTCTCGTCAAATGAATTAACTTCGATATTTGTATGGTACCTTTGATTTGAAAAAATATTAGCATTTGTTTGCCAGCTTTCGATTTGGTGACAGGGAAACCCAATTTCCCTGTATTGGTCTAGCGACGCGATATTCCTCTATTCACTATAAAAGTGAACGAGTATAGAAATTATTTCATGGCAAGAGAGAGAGAGAGGGAACTGAAATTTTCCATTGAAGTCACAATTTTTCATTCAGTCTGCTACACCAAACAGACAAACGCAACCTGAGAGGTAAGGGAAATTAGTAAAATTTCACCGCACCGAACAAATTTTCACAAACATACCATTTACGCCATTATTTCTGTTTTCAGACCTCGCCGACGCACAAAAAAAGACATATCAACGTCTGTTTTTTTTTATATTATTGAAAAAATATATATTTTAGCCTGGTCTCTTTGAATTGAACAAAATAAAGCAGTTGTCTTCCGCGAGTAGATATTTATACATTATTTTTGGGCGCATTGCCACTTGTAACGTTACTTCTATTGTATTTCAGTCGGGGTTCCTTTTCTACAAAGCAAGGTTGGTTGAGTTTTAAATTATACTTATATTACATATCTTCAGTGCTAGTGTCTTCGTGTTACACTATTTGGTTTTAGTCTATAAAGAAAAGGAAAATAGGTGATATACATTTATATATTTTTTTGTTTTTTAGTTACCATTTAATTTCATATCCGTCAGTCTATTTTTACACTTCAAAATATGTTCTTTTTCTCAAAGCACTAAATTGAATATTACAGTAGCTTTTTTACCACTAAAAAGACACGTTATAAATTTCGTGGTTGAATGAAACGCGCATATTTTTTATGTAACATGACTGAAAAAAATTGATGCAACTGTAAAAAAGAGCCAAAAAATATTTTCTCTATTACAGTTTGTTTGAAAACCGAACAGACGCGGTTTTGCCATTCAATACTTTCATATTTGTCATATAATAGATTCAATTTTGTTAACCATATATACCATATATACCACTAATATATTGAGTTGAATGTGGTTTTACGTTTCAGCAGAAAGCTCAAACGAGTTTTGCTTTATCACTTTTGACTAAACTTATTCTGTTGTCTAGATTTGATGAAACTTCAACATACCATTTGTCACTTACCAACTGAAGCAAAAGCAACGAACGTGCATCATGTTTAAAATCAAACTTACTCTTATTTCTAAGTCCATTACGCAGTTTAAACCGTCATGACTTAAGCTATAAACTATGGCCTCGTGTTAAATTTCCTAGCTTCAAAAACATTTGATAAATTATTTTTGTCTTTGATTGATTTACTCGACCGACAGTTAAACTTGTGGAAATATTGGACTGCGTTCTTAATTTCCCACGTGTAAAATTATAAAAAAACTTTACCGAAGTTCAAGAATTAGTCACTTTAAAAGCGTATAATATACTTTTTGGTTATCCATTCTGAGTTGAAGAATTGAGGGCACTTTTCAATATTTCATTACCATATTTTCCTTCAAAGTTTATTTCGAGTGGGAAACTTTTCCTGTTTTCTCCTATACGTTTGAAGTCAAACTGGAGAAAAATGCCTTCACATGGACATACACACAATTTCATGTCCTGGACAAGTCATCTGAAATGCAAAATATGCAAAACTCTTTACGACGACTATGTCCATAGACCCATGATTTTACTAGAGTGTGGCCATACAATATGCCACATGTGTTCCTCAGCTATGGCCAAAAAGGAGGGCAAAATTATTTGCCCGGACGATAAAACGAACATGGCTCTGAATCGAGTGGCGCCAAATTTAACCCTCCTTCAGATGTTGAAGAGAATATGCACGGGTATGTTGCACCATTAATTGCTATGATTTCTTATCTGGAAGCAAATTAACATCCTCCTCCCCCACCCCAAAAAAACGTTTAGGGGAGGGGGGAGGATGTTAATTTGATTCTGAGTTCAAATTATCAGCCAATCAGAATAGAGGAGTTTACATGCAGCGCTCAGCAAATTTAATTTCAATTAAAAGCTGAGGTGGAGCATCTCGATTCCTTATCTGCTACCACCTTTGAAACCCTGCTAAAGTCGAAGCTTTGAAGCTTGCAAAAGTTGTTTCACCTTGTGAAAAAAAGAATGAGCAGTTTTAAAATCGTTTTAATGAGCAGTTTGAGAATATTTCCCAGTTCTACAAAATCCAGAAAACCAATTTTTTAACAGTAAGTTTTTCTGTAATTCGATTTAGGAAAGCTTACTGGAAAATGAATTTTGATGTGGACAAGCGAACTAAGTATAAAAAAAATGCAGCCTTCCCCTCAAATACTAAAAAACACAGTGTTGGGGACTAGAATTTTATTGCTACTATGCTCGGGGTTTTAATAAGAAAGATACTTAATATGATATATTTTACTGGACCGCTTCGACTTGTCTTTGAGGTACCTGAAGGGGTCTTCGGCTCTTTTCCAGTTCCCCCCCCCTTTCATAATGCCGAGTTTTATGTTTGTTTTACGTGTTATTACGGCTAAACGCCTGATGTTACTCTGTAAAGTATGAAGAACAAATCTGTTCAGAATTGTCGATTCGTTCACCACGCCAATTTTCATTGCATTATGACAACGTTAAATAGACTTTTCAAAATTGAATTTGAAAGGGGGGAACTGGAAAAGAGCCGGGTCTTCTATCGTCCATCCCCCAGATGCCGTTTTTGACTCTTTTCCACACCCCCATCTCCCCCCACATTTCAAGTTTCCATTTTCCCAGTTGTCTTATGTGTTGTTATGACTCAATGAGTAATGTTACGATGTCAGGTATGAAAAAAAAATGTGTTCACAACAAAAAATGGAAAAAGCGATAATTTTTCTTGACAATTGGATCAAGTGGACAGAAGTTAAACGTGGGAAAACGGTAAAAATCTTACGTTCGTAACATCTAGTTTCTTAATTTTCTAGCCATATACTACACTAGTGTACAAAATTAAACGCAAGTTCAGGTTTTCGTTCCAATTTTTGAAGAAAACGAAATATTTTTGCTGGGTGTGATTTTTTTATTCAGTCAGTTTTCAAGCCGCATTGAAGATATTGACTCCATGAAATCAAATTTTAAAAAATATATTTTGCCTCCGATCATTTTTTGCAAACTTTTGAGAGTTTGAAAATTGCCAATTTGGGGCTCTTTTCCAGTTTCCTCCCCCCCTTCAAATTTAATTTTGAAAAGCTTATTTAACGTTGTCATAATGCAATGAAATTTGGCGTGGTGAACAAATCGACAACTGTGAACAGATTTGTTCTTCATACTTTACAGCATAACATCACGCATTTAGCGGTAATAACACGTAAATCAAACATAAAACTCGGTGGAAACTGGAAAAGAGCCCAATTTGGCTATGCTCTGGACTAATTTATGCGCATTTTAAAGACTTTATCCATAACATTGAAAGCGTAACGCAAAATATTTAGGCGTGGCGAATTATCCCGCACAATAAAAAGGTTCCAAATGGGATTGACGCTAGCTAGTCGGTCGTATTAATTTCGTAAGACTCAAATTTTTACACTTGATCTTTGATATTGTCCAAAATTTAGTTATTCAATATTTTCTTTTCCAATAATCAGGGGCGGATCTAGGATTTTTTCGAGGGGGGGCAGATTTTCAAAAAATTTTCGAAAATTTTGACGACTTTTTTTTTAGGTCGACCAAATTGATTTTCCGAGCTCTTCTAAACCACTAAAAAAACCTTGTTTTGGCCAAATTTTCTGCGCCGCAGGCAAATTTTTGAAACAACAGGTCAAAAAAGCCGTTTTTAGGCACTTTTTGAAAAATTTTGACAAAAATATTGCGGTGACCCTTTGGGTCGGCAGGGGGTCGAATCCCTGAGGAGCGGCGTACGCCCCCCCTAAATCCGCCCTGCCAATAATTATTCGATATGGATTAAGGGGTAGTCGGATCATTCAAGGCTTTGCCTAAATATAGATATTTTTTTCTCCCTAAAATGTCTCTTTTCAAGGTCCATTTTTGACAACAGTTCCTTCGAATTTGAGTAAAGTTTTGTACATAAACCAAGAACAAATCATCTAAACTACCCTCTTTGAAACTATCGAGATATTCTGAAAAAGCCAGGGGCTCTTTTTCTTTTCCACCCACCTGCAATTTTTGTTCCGACTTTCGATACGAAAGAAACGGAATATTTGTGCTCGGGGTGGGTTTTTTTTCTTCAGACAATTTTCGACTTTTTAACTAGCCATTTTTGACGGAATTTTTTTATATCAATCAAAAGGTATTGTTGTCTTGAGCTTAATTTTGAAAAGATATTTCACCTGTGATCATTTTTCGTAAAGTTATGAGGGTTTAAAGATTGCCATTTTGGCCATTTTGACCAATTTGGGACAATTAACGCGCGATATAATTCGCGCTATTCACGCGTAAGCCGAGATTATAAATTGTTCCAAATTGGTTGAACGAAACTTATTTGCCATAATTGATTTGTTACAAGGAACGAAATCTATCTTTTTGTACTTTAAGTGGCGTGTGGGGTGATGATTTTCATAAAAAATTTCAAATTTTAGAAAAAAAAGTTTTCATTTTATTTTATTTCATTTAATTTTTTTATGTTATTACTGCTGCTCCATAAACCTTAAACAACAGTCGGAACATTCAGGGCTTCGCCCTGATACGAGCAGTCTTGTTTATATTTGAAGTTCCTGTTTATTTGTCCGATTGTCATGAAAATTGACATGCAGACTAATTAGGCCTTGACAAACATTTTTGATCTCCATAATTAACCTTGTAAAACCACTCGTTAGACCAAAAAAATTTTTTTGAGTGAGGTGGGGGGGAAGGAAAAAGAACCAAGCCAGGTTTTTTTCCGCGTGAACAACTAAGAAACTGCCGAGTTCAACAAAAATTTCACATTTTTCTCGCCGCGAATTTTCTAACGACGAATGAACAGCTATTTTACTCCGCTCATTGAAGAATGTTCACTATGAGGCAAAGTTTAGCGGAGATGATTTTCTCCTAGTCTACATGGACAGTTTACCTAAATTCGATGTAAATGTTGTCCAAAATGGACCTTGAAAACAGGCATTATAGAGAGTAAAATGCCGAGCTTGCGCTTAATTTTGTCCACTAGTGTAATTTACTAGTTGTTCAAAAAATTGATAACAAGCTCTGTCTGGGTTTTCTTTTTTCAAGTTGAAATGATAGACGCGAGAATTTTAAAACGCACTTGAAGCATTTTAATCCGCCCCTTATATTTAAATTTGGACTCGTTTCCAGTTGCCCACTTCCCTCGGAAAATTAAGATGTACAAAAATTGTTCTCACGGCATTTTGCATGAAAGAAAGTTTGTAAAAGTTTGTTCACATGTTCACACTGACACATTTTGATGCAGTTTATAACAAGAAAAGAAATGTTATAGGTGTTCATATAATGAATTTCAGAAAAAAAAATCAAAAGAGTGAAGTAGAAAAAAGTAAAATTTGAATAAAAATTCATCGTCCAACTACAAAAACTAGAGTGTTTTTTCGTTCATTCTTTCACTTTGGTTATGAACTGTCAAAAATGTTGGTTTTTTTTTCTCGACCCTTAAAAACATTGGTGAAATATTGATTCGGGTTTTTTTCCGCCTCTCTCCCTCGCTTACCAAGTTTGTTTTATTAACACTATAATTATGCATGCAGTTTAACCGCATGATTTTTTGCTCGGTACTATGAATAAAGCATATTTTGGTCACCGTTCAAGTTTCATCAAATTGCGTCAATGCAAACTTTAAAAATTTTCAAATTTCTTAAAATCTGTCTGAAAATGTAAGAGGGAAGTAGAAAAAACCTCGTTTTACAATCCAAATCACGATTTCAAAAGCATTAATTTGATGCCTCAACCATACGAGCTCTCTCTTTGAGGTAACAAAATTGTTTAAAAACAGTACACCATAGTTTTTTCTCACTCTTAGAGTGGTCGTGCAAAAACATGCTTGGTCGCACCAAGAAAGTCCACAGTATTTTCTTTGGTCAGTTATTGTTCCGACTTTCGATACGAAAGTAACGGAATATTTGTGCTCAGTGTGGGTTTTTTTTTTGCTTCAGACAAATTTCGACTTTTTAACTAGCCGTTTTTGACGAAGTTTTTTATTTCATTCGAAAAATATTGTTGTCCTAAGCTCAAATTTGAAAAGATATTTTACCTGTGATCATTTTTCGTAAAGTTATGGGGGTTTAAAGATTGCCATTTTGGCCAATTTGGGACAATTAACGCGCGATATATTTCGCGCTATTAACGCGTAAGCGGAGATTTAATCCGTCTTATAAATCGTTCCAAATTGGTTGAACGAAGCTTTTTGTTCCGACTTTTGATACGAAAGTAACGGAATATTTGTGCTCGGGGTGGGTTTTTTTTTCTTCAGACAAATTTCGACTTTTTAACTAGCCATCTTTGACTGAATTTCTTTATATCATTTGAAAGGTATTGTTGTCCTGAGCTCAAATTTGAAAAGATATTTCACCTGTGATCATTTTTCGTAAAGTTATGGGGGTTTAAAGATTGCCATTTTGGCCAATTTGGGACAATTAACGCGCGATATATTTCGCGCTATTAACGCGTAAGCGGAGAGTTAATCCGTCTTAAAATCGTTCCAATTTGGTTGAAAGAAGCTTTTTTGCCATAATTGATTTGTTACAAGGAACGAAAGGTATTGTTATAAGGGTTATAAGATTTGTTACAAGGGAAATTCGAAAAGTATTCTTGTCCTGGGCTCAATATTGAAAATATATTTCACGTATGATCATTTTTCGTAAAGTTATGGGGTTTTAAAGATTGCCATTTGGGACAATTAACGCGCAATATATTTGTTACAATACTTGTAACACTTGTTTGCCATAATTGATTTGTTACAAGTAGCGAAATTTATCTTTTTCGCTACTTGTTAATCCGCCATAGAAATCGTTCCAAATTGGTTTAAAGACACTTGTTTGCCATAATTGATTTGTTACAAGTAGCGAAATTTATCTTTTTGTACATTATATGGCGTGTGGGGGGATGGTTTTCATAAAAAATTCAAATTTTACAAAAAAAAAATTCATTTTGTTTTATTACTTTTAATTTGTTAATCTTATTACTGCGCCATAAACCTTAATAGGCAGTCGTAACAATCAGGGCTTCGCCCTGATACGAGCAGTCTTGTTTGCCATATATGATTTGTTACACGGAACGAAATCTATCTTTTTGTACTTTATATGGCGTGTGGGGTGATGATTTTCATAAAAAATTTCAAATTTTAGAAGAAAAAAAATTTCATTTTGTTTTTTTTTTCATTTTTTTTATTACTGCTGCTCCATAAACCTTAAAAGGCAGTCGGAACCTTCAGGGCTTTGCCCTGATACGAGCAGTCTTGTTTGTTTTTATTTTTAATGTGACTCTTTTGCAGTCGTTTCCTACTTACTCGTTATATTACAAAAAAGAACTTTTTCCACTCCGCCGAAACTATTTTTACTCTGTCACAATCAATTCAACTTGGCATGGTGAAAAAATGACGGATCTTCTTAACAATCTCAACCCCCGTTCAATAAAGGGGGGGATTCTTTAGTAGATACAATAGGGAGGGGGGGAGATTGTTAAGTAGATCCAAAATAACAATTGTGAACAGATTGTACAATAGTTAATTTCATGCCTTACATCGTTTAGCTTACACGCCTTCATCGTTTAGCCTTACACGTTTAGCGATAATTACACGTAAAACAACTGTAGAAACTAAAATTTTAACAGGTGGGGGAAATGGAAAAGAGCCCAGAGTAGAATTGTTTAAAAACTGTTCGTACGGCAAATGTCATGTCAAGAAAGTTGCCTTTTTACACCCCCACGTTTCGAATTTTCTAATTTCATACTTGATTAACGTGTTGAATTGGTGTTATATGCGTGTTATATGCGTTGTCTTACGATGTACATTTTGAGGCAAAAGTGTGTTCACCTTAATTTTTTGTTCACCATACAAATTTATATTGAGTTATGAAATGGTTGAACGCAAGCGGAGGGCAATCTGATAGTTCATGGCTAATTTTTAAAACCTAAATAGTAAATTTTGTGGTACTTTTGGTCGCTCTTTTGCAACAGGGACTGAAATAACTGTTTAATGGCATGTGTTTGACATTTGAATACTATTGAATCAGGTTTTTGTAGTTTTTTTATATATTTGTTTTATAATATTTGTTGCAGTAAGTTAATGAAAATTTTTGTTCCGAATTTTTTTAAATCAATTTTTTTTGCGAAAGTTTTTCCTTCCTAGTTTGTAACATACTAAGTTACAGGATATGGTCATACTCATAGGATATGGTCAGTGTAAAATGTTTATCTGCACGCTGTGCGTTGCAATTAAATGCGCGCTGGTGTGGCATCTCCAAGATTTAGACTTTTAGTTGTTACAGGTTTTTCAGTGTCGAGAGAAAGTATTTCGCAAGAATTTCGGGCTCTTTTTCGAGAGAAAGTATTTCGCAAGTCAGTGTCGAGAGAAAGTATTTCGCAAGTCAGTGTCGAGAGAAAGTATTTCGCAAGAATTTCGGGCTCTTTTTCGAGAGAAAGTATTTCGCAAGTCAGTGTCGAGAGAAAGTATTTCGCAAGAATTTCGGGCTCTTTTTCGAGAGAAAGTATTTCGCAAGTCAGTGTCGAGAGAAAGTATTTCGCAAGTCAGTGTCGAGAGAAAGTATTTCGCAAGAATTTCGGGCTCTTTTTCTTTTTCGGGCTCTAAAAACTTGAGGCTCGTGTGAGGTGGGGGGGGGGGGGGGGCAAAAAAACCGAACTTCTTATCAGGTTGAGTTACGGCGAGGGTTAGAAAGAGAGTGAAAAGTCCCAAAGATTTTTAAAAATTAAAAACACTTTCTAATCTTGTCCAGTTTTCCACAGTTATAAACTGAAGTCGAATGAAAATTGCTAAATGGCATTGTCCATTGAAAACTAATCTGGAAAATTTTGCTTGAAAATATTCAGGATGTTCTGTGATATGCCAAGAACTTGATATTGGCTTTGTTTTCAACTGCGCAGTAAGCGGTTATCCGTAAAGAGTCGAACAGCTTGTTTTTTTACTGCTGCGTTCGTCAACTAACAAAAAACTTGGAAATTTTTGATAGTATCTTAATGAAGTAAGTGTTTTCATTATGTGTGTAGTGAGGGTTTCATTCAGCTATCTGTCCACAATGGAAAAAAATAGTTTCACTTTTTTGTCGGCTTTTTTAGGTCGGCCAAATTTTGTCGACTCTTTTTAGGTCGGCCAAGTTGATTTTCCGAGCTCTCTCATAGCACCGAAAAGACCCTGTTTTAGCCAAATTTTTCTGCATCGCAGGCAAAAGTCTGTAAGAGCAGGCAAAAAAAATCTTATAAGGCACTTTTTTGAACATTTTGACCAAAGAGTCGCGTTTTTTTTGGCGATTGATTAGTTTTTCCCCCTCTAAATTAGTATATACTACAAAATTATTTTTGGCTGGAAATGACTACAATAAATTTTGAAAACTTAATCATAAAAACAACAAGACTGCTCGTATCCGGGCGAAGCCCTGAATGTTCCGACTGCCTTTTAAGGTCTATGGAGCAGTAGTAACATAAAAAAATCAAGCGTAATAAAACTATATTTTTGTAAATTTGAGATGTTTTGTGAAAACCATCCCCCCACACGCCATATGAAGTACGAAGGGATAACTTTACTTCTAGTAACAAATCAATTATTGCAAATAAGTTTCCTTTAACCGATTTGGGACGCTTTCTAAGACGGATGAAGTCTCCGCTTACGCGTTATATGCTCGCGCGTTCTTCGTCCCAAATTGTCCAAAATGGCAATCTTTAAATCACCATAACTTTAGGGAAAATGAGCACAGGTGAAATATTTTTTCAAATTTAAGCTGAAGGCAAAACTACCTTTTGAATGATAAAAAAAATTAAGTCAAAAATGGCTAGTTAAAAAGTCGAAATTTGTCTGAAGAAAAAAACCACCCCGGGCTCAAATATTTTGTTACTTTGGTTACGAAAGTCGAAACAAAAACAACACATTTCATAAAATAGCATCAACATCTTTCCTGTAACTTCATTTGTTTTAATCGACCGGTAGCTTTTGTACTACTTGTTCAGCTACCAACTATTCCTTTTTTGACTTTTTCCCATTTCCCCCATGTTCGAATTTCAGTTTTGAACAAGAGTGCTCGTATATCAGGCCAAAGCCCGGAATGTTCCGACTGTCCCTTAAGACATATAGTGTAATTTTTGGGAAAAAATATTGAAAACCTATAAATTTTGAACAAAATCAAAGTGTGAAATTAATAAGATCAATTACCTAGCCTCAACTCAATTTGAAACAATTTTGTTGTGCGGGATGATTCGCCACGCATAAATAATTTGCGTTAGGGTCTCAGCATTATGAATTAAATCTTCAAAGCGCACATAATTTATTTCAGAACATGGCCAATTTGGCAACTTTCACACCCCCACAACTTAACAAAAAATAATATGAGGTAAAATGTCTTTTTAAATTTGAACTCAGAATGTCAGTATGGGTTAAGAAAAATTTTTGTGGAAAACTATTTCAATCGGCGAAAATTGACTGAATAAAAACCCTCGAAAATCGAAATAAAAAAATTTACCTAATTGATGTAATTTTTCTTCGAAAGTCGGAACAAAAAATAATTTTACATTGTCATAACGTAATGAAATTTTGCATGGCGATCAAACTAAGTTTTGTGAACAAATTTGTTCTCCTTACTTTACACATCGTAACATGGCGCATTCAGCCATGATACCACATTAGAAAAATGCAAAATTTGAAATGTGGGTGGAAAGTGGAAAAAGAGCCCATTTATGTTTTGTTCATAGTGTGTGAGCGAATCTTCGGAGAGGAGTTGAAGGAAGAAGAAACGGAAAAGAAGTACTTCTGCAACAAGTGTCTGGACCTCCTCAACAAGCGCAAAGACGAAGTCAAGAGGAATATCTGGGCCAAAATTGCCGTCATCCAGAAGAAAAACTCAGAGGCTGTCGAAGCTATTCAAGTAATTAAGCAACAAAAGAACACAATTTTTTAAACGAAAAATACCATCACCTATAAGACCACCTCTGCTTGTTTTGCACCCAGTTTATTCGCAAAAACTAGCATGTTGACTAATTATCTAAATAAATCGTAATTAGCTGGTAGCTGAATTTTCGACCTTAGTTATAATTCTTCAGATTCAAATAATTAAAAATCTACAAAAAAATTATCTGCACCAATTTTTCAAGAGTTTTTTTGTTAGTTGGAATGTCTTATTGAAGAATGAGCAAGCTGCGATTTTTAAAAACGGTTGAAGAATGTTTTTTCCTTCCCCGCCCTACATAAACCTCAATTTTATGCTCTAACTTGTGGTTTTACAAGGTCGGATATGCAGAGCTAATATGTCTGGTTTAATATGGTAATCTGTCTGCATGTCAACGTCAACCTTCGTCTCAAGCGGGAAACGTGAATAAATGTTGCACTAGTGAAAAATCACTAATGGGAAAAGAAGAAGCCCAATTTGAAATTTATTAAATATTAAAGGCTTTTTTTCTTTTCTTCTACTGGAAATTTTTAAAAGTAAAATTTTTGTTCACGTTGTCCGATTGCTATGAAGATTTACTGACAGAAATTCTGACTAATTCGACCATGACAAACAAATTTTGGTCTTCATACTTGAACTTTAAAAACCCTCGTTGCACCACAAAATTGTTGCTACTATCAAGGTAAATGGGGGGGGGGGGGGGGGAGGTTGAGGGAGAGAGGAGGAAAAAAGGGCTGTATTGTTGAATGTTCTAGACCTTGGTGCTGATGCTGGAAAACCTGAAGAAGGAATACCTGGTGCACGAAAAACAACGGATAGAGAAGTGTGAGTTCCTACGAAGCATGTTGGAAAACGAGAAAGATTTAGAAGAAGACGAGATCAAAGAGTTCATGGAAGACGTGGAAAAAATGAACAAGGAGCGAGAAAAGAGAAAAATAGACCTGAAAGCCATTGAGCACATTAAAATGCTAATGGACGAGTTATTTACTAAAAAAGACACACAAAGTTTCCTGAATTTCATTCAGCTACACTCCAAATCTCTAGAAGCGACGGCCGTAGACAACAACCCGGCGGCACTCAACGGCAACAACGGGACGACAAACGGAACGATGAGTCATAATACTGCCCCCACCCACCCTAATCAGCAAAACATGTATGGTGGGTCATATTACAATCCTCAACAACACGGTGCTCAGTGTAACCCCCACCAACCTCCCCGCCCCCAAGAAAACAACATGTATATGTCATGTCAACAGCCGAACCAAATGGGGGCAGCCCCCACCCCTAATAACCTGACTGCTGCGCAGTTGCAGCAACAGCACGAAGCACAAGTGCGCAAGATTCTGAGATCTGGTTGTCCCAGTAGCAAAAACCGAGCGAACGGGGGCAAGCCAACAATCTGTTCCTGTAATGGTGTACACCACTAAATCAATAGTAAATAAATATTCTTCAATAGTAATATCCAAAATAATATTTTGAGGGCCAATTTTATTTCAAAACACTTCGAAATAAATAGTGATTACAATTTTGCTGGAGAAACCTTAATTTTTAGCTTTGAAAAATTTCGATGTTTTTGAAATTAAATTGCACTGAAGTCCAAAACAAATCTTGGCAGTTTCAGCTGGTTTTATCTTGTACTTATTTCTAGGAAGTGAAACAAATTTTAAATTTTATTATTCAATTAGTTTTTCAAAAGCAAAAACTGCCAAAGATCTTAAAATGATTGATGAGCTTTGAACTGCATTTTAAAAACTAGAAGCGGAAATGGATGAGAAAAATAAATGTGAAAGCGGCTCAAAATTCACTTGTTTTTGAGAATTGATTTTTGAACTTCAGTTATTTGACTTCCTGGGTTCATAAATGAACAGTTTCCTCATACAGAGTTTTCCGAGAAAAAGTCTAAATTTTATTTTTATATTGTAATCAGCTCTGGTAATTTCGTGCTAAATAATAGTCTATAATAAGTGCTCACCTTAATGACCTTGTTGGGAAAATGGATTTGGGATATTTTATATTCTTGAAACAAATTAACCAATTGAATTGAATTATTTGAAAAAATGAGATTCAAAAATTCTGGGCTTACGACACAAACGGATCGTAATATTGTCACGGTTTTAATTTGTTTGCTCTAGGCTTTGTAGAAAATAAATGTGATTTATTTTGGTGCTTTCTTAGTTACTTGCCTTGCTGATAAAGAAAGATTGAAAATTGTAAAATACTGAATATAGAATGAAATCTATCTTGAAATAAAAATTTTCTCGCGTTCGTTAACTATATTTTTCAACCAAACTGCAACTCCATTAGAATGGTTCAAATGTTTAGAATAGGAGAGACGGTGTAATACTAGGTGACTTAGCATCTTAGGTAAATTTGTTAATAAGAATTTTCAACGAAAAAAGACGATAGTGTTGAAAATTTTGTTGAAAAATGTATGTCAATTTGCTTTCACCGTCTTGTTTGCAAAAACTTCCAGCAGGTTTTTCTTGACACTGAAAAAACTTTTTTTGAAACTTTTTCATGTGGTTGGAGTCACGTTTGCAAGGGCTTTAATATGATATATCACTCAACCCAGTCCGATGATTATTTATGGTACAGTATTTTGCTTGGAAAACAGAAGGAAAAAACCTCGAACACAAAGTTCCTCCCCATTTTCAATAGTCGGAACGATTAGTAGAAAAATAAAACAAAAACGTTTCGGAGCGTTGTGAAAAAACGGAGCGTCGTCTTCATCTTTTACCGTGATCAAATCAATTTAAATCATGAAGTTACTCTACTGTCAAAAAATAGCTTTTTGTTACTACCCCCCCCCCTCACCTTCAAATTTCTATTTTGAAAATTACTCCAACGAAGTAAGTCAAAATAAAACAACTAGCACAGAACATTCTGACCATAGTGAGTTTATGCCTGGAGTGGCTTACTCATAGAGTAATTTCAGATAAGGTACACCGACTGTTCGTCACGCTATCTTATTTTCGGCCGGATAGATTCGTGCAACTTCTTAGTCTAATACCAATCATAGTCTTACTCTTATATATCCTAGTCTCAATAGACGTAGCTTATACTGGTATTTGCGGGTTAGATATCTGGAAATTGTTCCAAAGGAGAACAATTGTCTTCTAAATTGTATTCAAATTGTTCTGGTGCTGAAACTACAAGTAGTTTCAGCACTACAAATAATTGTCAGTGTTAGTTATGGATCATGATTGGTTAGTCAGTAATAATTTATAGAGAGAGTTTTATTGAAAATTTAACTGGTTATAAATACTAGTTTTAAATTGGTTCCAATAGTAAAAAAAAATACAACAGAATTTTTTTAAAATTATTGGTATCGTTGTTTTCAGGACCTTAGGCTTTTTTTCACTGGTTTACGCAATATTGAACTCGTTTCCATTGCCTTTACGTTTCAGATTTCTTATTTCCCCATTCATTAACCTTTTTTAAAGCTATTTTTATAATACTGTTGAATATTTTTGAAATATATCACTTCGGAACGTATGACAAATCTGGGCAGATTTGATTTTTGAGCAGTTTGCAAATTTCACTACATAATGACATAAAAGTAAAACCTAAAAAATTTCATCCAAGAGTCGGGGGCTTAGATTGTTCTCATTTTAAAAAGATTTAGATTATGTCAAAATTATTTACGCTAATTTAGCAATTTCCAGCACAAGTTTGCCAAATATATTTTTTGATATCCGTAACTTTTTTTAATTTTTTTCTGGGCTGTTTAATTTTCTAAATATTTTCACAATTTACACTCAACAGCTTTACGTCAAGACACGCAGCCGACTTTGTTCTTGGATTTTCGTTTTTCTTCATTTTGATTTCGGAATATGGAATGCCTTTTTTTTCAAATTTGACTGTTTTTTGTTCTTGCTGTAGTGCATCAAAACATGTAAAAAATAGTGCAGTAGTGCATCAAAAAATAGTGCACCAAAAAGACTTTGTAGCTGTTATTTTTCGAATTAAAGGTTTCATCTGCTCATTTAGTTTAATTTTCGATTGTTTTCGCTTTGATTGGTTATCGAATTCCAGATTCATATGGCATAATTAGTGCAGGTGCAATGAAGTCACAGTAGACAAATAATTCTGAGAATGCGGAAGCCATCATAAATTGTTTGGAAGAATGATCTTATGACTTTTCACACACGTTATCCAAAAGTGGCAGTTCAAGAGAGATTTTTAAAAACAGATTGAGTCACAGACTAGGCATTTAGAACCTGACACAGAGGACGATTTTTGAACTTATTGTTTTTAAAAATCTCTCTTGAAATGCGATTTTTGGATAACGTGTGTGAAAAAGGATGAGAGCATTCTTCCAAATAGTTTATGATGGCTTCAGTGTTCTCAGAATTACTTGTCTACTGTGAATTCATTGCACCTGCACTAATTATGCCATATGAATCTGGAATTCGATAACCAATCAAAGCGAAAATTAAATTAAATGAGCAGATAAAACCTTTAATTCGAAAAATAACAGCTACAAAGTCTTTTTTGATGCACTACTTGTTGATGCACTACTGTACTATTTTTTAAATGTTTTGATGCACTACAGCAAGACCAAAAAACAGTCAAATTTGAAAAAGGCATTCCATATTCCGAAATTAATTTTTAAACAATTCACTGCCCGCGTCGAGGTTCGCCACTCATGCCCAGACTTTCGCGACAATCAAACTTAAATATGTCCAGACTTTCGCGACAAATTTTTGGCATTTCCAGACATTCCCGACCAAACTTAGGACTGTCCAGACTTTCGCGACCAAAATTAGGAATGTCCAGACTTTCGCGACTCATGGCCAGACTTTCCGGACTCAACTTCTTGGAGCGACTATGCAGTTAGGGTCTGGATCTCGATGCAGCGCAACTTGAAATGAGTCTGAGACCTCGACCCGGGTCATCTTTTAGTATGGTCCTTGTGGGGTTTGAGGATAACATCTTTGAGGATAACATCTTGAGCAAAAAAGCGTCTGGACCAAAAAGTTGAAGTCAAGCTGGTTGAGAGTCTAATGATTGTATATGACTGCTCCAAAAAGATTGCAAGGCTTTTTTGGTCTCTTAGTGAATACGATTAGGGCTTGAATTTGTTTTCGATTTTTGGATGTGAAAAGAAATGTTTTTGAAATTACGGAAAATCTCTCCGTATCCACCTCGGTCCCGAGGAATTGTTTATTGGTCGCGGTGTCTACGCCTTGGTCTGGAAAGTCGCGCCGCGTTCGCCTTTGTCTGGAAATTGGCGCCGATCCCGCCTTGGTCTGGAAAGTCGCGCCGTCTCCGCCTTGGCCTGGAAAGCCGCGCCGTCTCCGCCTTGGTCGGGAAAGTCGCGCCGTCTCCGCCTTGGTCTGGAAAGTCGCGCCTTTTCCGCCTTGGTCGCGAAAGTTGCGCCATATCCGCCATGGTTGCGCCGCGAATCGCGCCTCATCCGGATTCAGACCCAAATTGCATAGTCGCGCCGCGAGTTTGAGTCTGGACATAAGGTCTGGAAATTCTGGACATGAGTCGCGCCAAGGGTCGCGCCGCATCCGGATTTAGACCCAAATTGCATAGTCGCGCCGAGAGTTCGAGTCTGGAAAGTCTGGACATGAGTCGCGCCGTGGGCCGCGAAAGTCTGAACATACCAAAATTTGGCCGCGAAAGTCTGGACATGGGTCGCGAAAATCTGGACAACATACCAAAATTTGGTCACGAAAGTCTGGACATGGGTCGCGAAAGTCTGCCCAAACTTTCGTGACCCATTTCAAGACTTTCGCGACCAAATTTTGGTATGTGCAGACTTTTGCGACCCATGTTCAGACTTGCGCGACCAAGTTTTGGTATGTCCAGACTTTCGCGGCCCACGGCGCGATTCATGTCCATACTTTCCAGACTCAAACTCTCGGCGCGACTATGCAATTTGGGTCTCAATCCGGATGAGGCGCGACCCTTAAAGTCTGGGCATGAGTCTGGGACCTCGACCCAGGTGTTGATGGCGGTGTAGCGTTAATCTATGCATTTCAAGCCAATTAGTGGTTTTTATTTCGTACCTGCTTATGCCGTTTAGAGTCTTCATGCAACTCTAATCTTTTGCTGCTCAAATCGATTGCTTAGAAAATTATGTGAAAATTGTTTTGTGAAAGATATGTTCTACTTGACTTACAATTTCCAAAAAGTCAGTGTAAGTGGCCTTGCCATCCTGTACCATGTTTCAGATTTCGTCGAGGAACTCCGACATTTGAAATGCTGTGTATTTCTTCTCGGATTGCAAACCGACTTATATGGAGTTGTTTAAGTCCTTCCCGAGTCGAGATTTTTCACCTAATTTGAAGCAAGATTTGAGCGGTTTGAGCGGTTTTTTTAGACAATTACGCTCAAAATCTTGCTTCAAAATGAGCGGTTTGAGCGGTTTTGAACGGTTTATCTAAAAAAAACCGCTCAAAAACTGCGCAAGATTTGACCGGTTTTGAGCGGTTTATCTAAAAAAACCGCTCAAAACCCCACACAAGTTTTTCAAATACATTTTGCTCGAGGATTTTTGAGAAAACTGAGTAGAAAAGCCTTATTGGTTGATATTTTGCGACTCACTTTTTGTCAACTCCCATGACTAGCAGAATAATTGCAAAGTTTTGTAACTTATCGGGTTCTATAATTTTGTTTGCCT